AGACCGAAGCCTCTCAGTCCAGAGAAGCCAGGTGCAGGGCCGGCCAGTGAGAACTTGAGTCCGCGAGGAGCCGAGGGGACACCTCCCATGGAGCGCGCATCCTGAGAATGTCCTTCCTGGGAGAACTTAAATTCCTCGTCCACATCTGAACGACTCATGGCATCGTTCAGTCTTCACGGCTGTCGGTTTGACATTTCTCGCTACTGTAACGGGCAATTGCCGCCTCGTACCTTTAATGCCAAACGGCTAATCTGGTCGTTTAGAAAAACAGAGTAAGCCCCTCCCACAGTTTCAGGAAGATGTCTTTGGCCACCTTAATACTTTTTTATTGAGTCAACCACTTGACCAACCATCGTCCACACGAACCGGTACATTTTCTGGGCAAAGCTACGGTTTCTGCCGCGCGGTTCTCTCTTCATTTGAACCCCCCGACTTGCACAGACACCCCTTCCTCTCTGCCTCTGGTTTTTAGATAAGTGATGTTGTGGGGATCAATTGCTCCCCTGCCGTTGGCTGCAGCGCCGCTTCCTTTTAGTCTCATGCAATGCTACGAGTCCAGTCAGGCAACTTTGGAGACCGTTGCCATAGCCACCTGTGGTAGAATCGCAAGTGCACGGAGGAATGTTAAAGGCCCTGACAAGTCCTGCTTTACGTCACATTCCACATGTAATGGGACACAGAATGCCCTTCATTTAACACCTGTTAATAAACCGACATACACTTCAGGAAAACTGAGTTACGATCTGGTGAGGAGCTTTTTAAAGAAGAACCAAGCAGATGGGTTCGCCAACCACCAGCCTTCCGATAATTAAGATGAACAACACAGCCCGACGCCGACGCCTTAGCCCAGCTGCAGGCTCAGTCCCCACTCCCGCTGCCCTCTGCTTTGCACAGACACAGACATGATCTGGGAGCTGGCGGGCAGGTACAGGAAACCTGCCCTGTGATCCCTCCGAAGAAAATGGTAAGTCGCTTCACAGAAGTGCCTGAGACTGCAGCCCTAACCCTGGCCACCCTTCCGGGCGGCACCCCTTAGTGGTAGCACACAGAAGCGAAGACCTGGCGCCCGGTGTGGGCACTGCTGCTAACAAAGTGCCTTGGGGTAAGTTGCCTTTCCCTGCTCCTCATTCGTCTCTGAGCTTAGATGAAAGACTGCCTCCACAGGTGCCCCCAGGAGTCAGCATTGTCTCCGAGTGGGGGACATCTTTAGTCCTTGGATCTGACTCTCTCTGCTGAGTGGGAAGAAGGACCTTTGCCCCCTCCTGAGTGCTGGGGAGGCTTGGAAGCAAGAGGGAGGTAGAAAGAGGAAGAGAGAGCCACCCCTGGGGTTGGGGCTGGGGGACTTCTCTGGGTGAGGAAGGGAGCAGCCGCTCGGGGGTTAACCGACCCTCTCTGTC